AAGTAGGGCAATTCTTCAGATTCCTCCAATAAAAAGTAAAGGATGAGGTCTTTTTCCTCCCTTTCCAACCAACTGAGCGAATGGATGTCGGACTCAACCAATTAGGGGACAGCTGAGTAGTACTTTGAATTTGAAAAACATGGTGAAATTTTAAATTAAAAGCAACCTGCAATTAACATCATCTTTGAAAATTATTCTCAAATTAGTAGACTAAAATTAAGTCAGACATAAAAAATTACATAAAATGGACCAATCGGCTATGATGATAGTCTTTTCAGAAAGACTGGGCCAACAGATGCAAGGAGCTAAAATCAAGTTCAACTTTGTATTTCATTTGCTCATTCCGTTTAAATGACAGATGGCTTAAATATTAACCCTATTAATAAAATGTTTGCATATTCATTAGGGATCTGACTGCCTTGTTGCTTAACTCCAAACATTCACTTCATATATGTCACTCCATGGCTGTCCATTTCACGCCACGCTTTTCGAAAGAGGCTCACCTTTCAGAGTCAACGAGACCAGTGTCACCTGGGAGCTGAACTGCCGGTTCTCAGGCCTGGAGCAGTAGCCTAGCGGCTGAATCCTCACCTTGCATGCACCAGGATCCCATATGGGTGCTGGTTCATATCCCAGCTGCTCCACTTTCCTTCCAGTTCCCTGCTTGTGGCCTGGGAAAGCAGTCAAAGATGGCCCAATGCCTTGGGACCCTGCACCCGTGTGGGAGACCCGGAAGAGGCTCCTGGCTTCAGATCAGCTCAGCTCTGGCCTTTGCAGCTACCTGGGGAGTGAACCAAGGGACAAAGGATTTTTCTCTCCGTCTCTCCTTCTCTCTGTATATTTGCTTTGCCAATAAAAATGAACAAATCAAAAACAAAAAACCAAGAAACAAAACCCCACCAGAACTGCAGGTTCTCACCTCACTGCCAGACCTGTCCCCAGTCAGTCAGCGCCTGCCTCTTTAACAACCCCCAGACAAGGGCTGTGCATATGAGCGTCCGAGCAACAAACTACTCTGCATTCTCCCCGCACTACACACACACACACACACACACACACACACACACACACACACACACACTTTCTTCCTTTTACTGTTACAAAACCTATATTGCTTCCAAACTGTGGTTAATTTCTCCCCACGGTGGCTTTTAAAAAAGGATTTTATAATCTTAAAAATATCCCTTTAAAATAAAAAGATGTATTTCATTGTGCTTGAAAGCCAGGGTTATAGAGAGGGAGAAAGAGAGACACACACAGAGAAAGAGATGTTCCATCTGTTGATTCACTCCCCAAATCAGTGCAAAGGCTGGAGCTGAACTAGTCTGAAGCCAGGAGCTTCTTCGAGGTCTCCCATATGGGTGTAGGGGCCCAAAGGCTTGAACCATCCTCTGCTGCTTCCCCATGACATTAGCAGAGAGCTGGGTCTGAAGTGAGGCAGTCAGCACTTGAACTGGCACCCAAATCAGATGGAAGCACTGCAGGTAGAGGATTAGTGTGCAATACCACCATGGCAGTGAATTTTTTAAGATTTATTTATCTTTACTGGAGAGTCAGACACACAGAGAGGAGATGCGATGAAGACCTTCCATCTGCTGATTCAGTCCCCACGTAGCCACAATAGCAGAGCTAAGCCAATCCGAAGCCAGGAACTCAGAACTTCTTCTGGGTCTCCCACACGGGTGTAGGGTCCCAAGGCTTTGGGCCATCCTCGACTGCTTTCCAGGCTACAGGCAGGGAGCGGGATGGGAAGCGAGGCTTTGGACACATGAAATGGCACTTATATGGGATCCTGGCACGTGTAAGGAGATGAGTTTAGCTGCTAGGCTGCTGTGCCGGGCCTGGCATTGACTTTTAATTTAAAAAAAAGAATCCCAGGACAGGAGTTATGGTACAGCAAGTTCAGCCGGCTCCTATGGGTTCTGACTGCTCCACGTGTGACTCAGCTCCCGCTGACACAGAGGACACTGGAGGACAGTCTGAGTAGGTGGTCCCTGCCACTGACGTGGGAGACCTAGATGGAGTCCCAGGCTCCTGGATTTGGCCTGGCCCAGCCCTAGCTGTTGCAGCCATTTGGGAAGTGAACCAGCAGGTGGAAGCGCTCTCTCTCTCTCTCTGTCTTCCTCACTCTCTGTAAGTCTGCCTTTCAAATAAATAAAATTCAGGGAAGTGACTCTGATCAGGACTCATGTATTTAGATATTCTATATGTAATGATCTTGACCTTGCTCTTCAACCAGGGGGGCTTCAACTCTGAGAAGCCGCACTGGACTATTCAGTTTTGTTTATTTTTTTTTTCTCTTGAGCTGACATTTTGTCCTTGTGTGGAGCCACTGTGATGTACTTCTTCCCTATAATTAGACAATGTTGAAAAGCACCAGGAAAAGAGCTTATGAAAAATATATATTAAAAAAATGAAAACACCTCAAAAGAGTTTCAACCAAGGTTGAATGTGAAAGTTCACCAGAAAAAAAATTAAACAGAACCACTTAATCCTCTACATATTTCTAGGCTATGCCTAACACACACACACACACACACACACACACACACACACACACACACACACTGCAGGCACCACCAATCCTGAAATAAGGAATTCACATAGGATTTAACAGAGTACAGTCTATAGAGGGTTCATCTATAATTATTATTATCGTACAATAGTCACAATTCCCCTAAAATAGAACAAGTCCTGTTTTTCACTTTCAATTTCCAAAAAAAAAAAAAAAAGAAAAAACAGACGAAGGCCCCAAAACTATTCCCAGCAGGTAGGATGGCTGGGCAGAGAGCGAAAGCAGAGCGCAATGCTCCATTTTCAACTGCACCGCCAGAGCCCAGCTCGGCCCTTGTCACTGCGGCCAGCCGTGGGCTCCGTGCCAGACCAAACCAGCATTTGAAAACTGCTCCCAGGCACCAATCCTTACAAGTGATTATGAAGAGCTTAGCAGCCTGACGGGGGCATTCTAACAAGGTCAACACCTCAGAGTTGGGGGATGAGAACCAGGAGTTAGCCACACTGCGGCTGAGCTCCTGCACCTGCTGTAGGCGTCTTAGGAAAGAGAGCTTAACATGGGCTGGGGGAGGCGAGGGGGGGGACTTGTAGGTCTTCAAACACCGCCCACCCCCGCAGCTTTTGCTAAGATCCAGTTCTAGATCAGTCACCTTGCACTGACCTCTTTCTTCAGTCAATTTTGGCATTTTCAGCCTTCATCCTCGCTCAGGACTCAGGCTTCAGGAGAGTACGGAGTAGGCATGGCATGGCCTTTCCTTGCCACCAGATCCACACTGATTTCAAAGCATTGAGGAGCGCCCCTCCTTCTAGTATTCTAAACTGAGGTGAGGGAGGCCATTGCCATCCCATTGAAGAACTTAGGTGTTTTCTGCCTTTTGTAACTCTGCCTTAATGGCTTGGCTGGGGGCTGTGTGAACTCCGGGCCTGACAGTCTACGTGACACCTGGCAGGACACCTGGCAGGTCCCGTAGGCAGACCACTCCTCAGGAAGGAGGTCCCTGGTGCTTGATAAGATTCACTACTCTATAGCTCATCAATTTGTACTTTTTGAAAGTTGCTTGCTTCAAATCCACCATTAAAATCCTGCTCAATCATGATTGTATAATTAATATCCTGAAATGTGTAAGAACCTCTGGGCTGTTCAACCAGAGGCTCTTGTTCTCTGGTTTGCTCTCCTTTTTCTCCTCCCTGCAGATCCTACCAGCCTCAGGTGAGGCTGCCCCTGCCCCGCCCAGCCCTGCTGGACTGGGGGAGGTGGCTGGGAGACCTAGGCTAACCTGAATAAACCACCTTCATGCCTTAGCACCGACTTCAGACTTGATGATTATCTGGAGATATCAAAATCTGACACAACACCATCCTTCCTCACTCAGAGCACAGGTTTTCAGAAGAACAGACCACACACACTGTCAGTCTCTCCAGCCCACTCCCATCATTAAACTTTTAAGACCATGCCACTGAGTTCAAGGTTGCTTCCCACCTTCCCAGACACCTTGACCCCCCTCCAACCCCGAGCCACCTGTGAGCCCACACTGGTATCCCAACTACCTCTTCCATGTCTCCACCCACACGCTCCCTTGACATGTTAAAGTCCGAGTCTGTCACCTCAACACTTCTCTTCCAGGGTTCTCCACTCCCCAACCATCCAGCTGCTTCAGGCAGCAAACCAAAGCCAACCTCCGAATTCCTTCTCCTTCTGCCTGGGCCAGCATCCCCTCCTGCCTCCCACGCCAAGCTGGCTTTCCAGGCGCCTTCAGGAATCCACCCCATCTCCCTCAGATCTTGCCCATCAAAGTGCCCCTCCCTCCCTGACACACCCTCTTTTCCGGCTAGCACCCCCTTTCTATGTGAAGCACCAGTCTCACTGGCTTTGCCAGTGAGGGTCTTGCATGTGTGTGACCCCTACTTGGGATACTCCTGGACCCGAGGCAACTATGAATGCATTCTACCAGGACAAAAACAATTATAGCAGCAAGCCCTAAAGCAACTCAACCCTGACCAGTGTGACCCAGGGCAAAGGTAGTAACTTCCCTGCTCAGAACAACCCTATGCTGGTTAAGTACTACTGATAAGCTGTTAGAGGTGTTAAGTCACCTAGCCAAGATGGCAGAAAGTCAGCCTCAAGGCTAAGATGCAAATAGGGTCGAGTGGGATGCCTCGCTGCTTGGTTCTGGAAGATTCTGCAGTTCGATGACTACGTACCGTGGGAAGACACTGTTTCAATCCTTGCTCCCTTTTACACCCCTAGCGCCTGGAGTGGAGTCCAGCATACACTCGAGATGACTAAAACCCTCCAGAATGCAATGTCTCCTGTCCAGTTCCATGACCACACACGTGCTTCTGTCTATATCTACATGTCTTGTGCCAGCTGCGGGTCTGACCTCCTTCCCTCGAAGCCTCTTTTCGGTCTGTCTCTGTTCCGCGTGGCTCCCTGCCTGCCTGCCGCCATGGGAGCACCTAGCTGCCCTCCCTGCCCCAGGCCTCACCTTCCAGGAGCGGGAGGAAGCCGGCCTGGTCCCCTGGCCCGGCGCAGGAGGTTCCCCGTCGCTCAATGGCATGAAGCGGCCGTAGCGCTGCAGAGGCCACTGCGTCGCGTCTTTCCCTGGCAGCCCGAAGCTGGTGCTTGCGTTTGCAGCCCCCGCCATTGCTCCCAAACCCTCCACGTGCGGCCCCAGGCAGGAACCGGGCCCCACTGCGCTCCAACCAATCAGGGCGCGCGGCGACGCAAGGCCCGCCCTTCGCCTCGCCATGGGAGCCAATGAGCGGGCCCGAGGCTCAGGCGCTTGCTGCCCTCACTTCCAGGAGGCCTGAGGTGGAGCCTCGGCTTCCCGCCCAGCGGCTCTGACTGGGAGCAGGCCCCAGCCTGGCTTGGTGCCCTGAATGTCACACACGTACACACACACGCACGCACACACACACGAGGACAAGAAGGCTTTCCTTGGGGTGGCTTTTGGGATGATGATGAAGATGGCATCCCAACCCTCCTCACCCCTCACAACGCTGCCACAGGCCCCCCCACCCCCCACTATACAGAAACATGGCTGCTCCTTGGTCATCCCACAGCTCCCTTTCCTGACAGACTTACTCCAGCTGGTCCGTTTGTCGCCTGCTGCAGAGGAGCAAAAGGATAGAGGAGTGTGGGGTGCATGCTACCAAAGGCGAGGAGGACCAGCAGGTACCAAGCAGCTAATGCCACAGGGTGATCGAGGCCTCCAGGAGCCCAGAAAAGGCACAGCCCAAACACCGTCCCCTGGACTAGGGAGGCGAAGGCAGGCCAGGGTCCAGCAAGCCACTGAATGGTGGAGCCCAAGTTACCTCTCAGAAGAAACAGCTCAGGATCAGGAGCGCTGTTCAGCAAACAAGAGAAATAAACAAGCAAACAGATTTTAAAACCGTGCGCACCACGGGGTCTTAAATATATCAAAAGTGGTTGGAGAGGTAGTCATTTATTTGTTCTACAATATAGTAATTGCAAAGCTCAAGGAGCAGGCAATGAGGTCATTGAAAACAGGTGTGCTACTGACTAGGCCTTGGGGTCCAGAAGGAGAACAAGGAGGATGTTCCAAAGTGAGTGGTCTCCAAAGTCATTACAACACACTGGGGCTGCAACGGGTCACCGGGCCCAAACATTTACCTCAGAAAGACACCGGTAGACAAAGCTCTTCCGGCTGCTGGTTCATTCCCCATCTGCTGGCATAGCTGGGACTGGAGCTAGGCCAGGCTGAGGCCAGGATCCAGTATTCCATCCACGTCTCCCACCTGGGTGGCAGGGCCCCGGGTAACCAAGCTGTCACCCACCGCCTCATAGTCTGTGCATGAGCAGGCAGCTGGCACTGGGAGCAGAGCTAGGTTTAAACCCTGGCACTTCCGTGGGACCTATGTGACCCAAGTAAGGGCACACCACCCCTCCAGGGTATTGTTTAAAGATGAATATTTATATAGAGAGAGCATCAAAATTTTGTAACTGATTTATCTCACATCACAGAGTTATCAATTCACTGAGTTATACCATGTATGTGACATTACGCCTGTTTCGCATGTCATCATGAATCCTACGCTTTGTGATGTTAATGTGTTTGTTTTAGGGAAAAAATTATTCTATGTGTGTATGCACATATGATCTACATATTCCGTGAGTGTGGCAAACACATTCAAGATCATTAATTATTTTTAAGATTTATTTGTTTTTATTGGTTAAGTAGACACACAGAGAAAAGGACATACAGAAAGATCTTCTGTCCACTGATTCACTCCCCAAGTGGCCACAATGACCAGAGCCAATTTAAAGTCAGCAGCCAGAAACTTCCTCAGGCTCTACCACATGGGTGCAGGATCCCAGGGCTTTGGGTTGTGCTTATCTGCTTTCCCAGGCTACAAGTAGGGAACTGGAAAGGAAGTGGAACAGCTGGATACGAACCAACACCCATATGGGATCTTGGTGGGATTCGGTGCATGCAAGGCAAGGATTTAATCACTAGACTTTCACACCAGGCCCAAGATGATTAAAATTTAAAACAGAAGATAAACTGAAAAGATGAGGTTGGGAAGGTGTACTGGGGCCAAAGAGCTGTGAACAGCAGTTAAGAGACAGGTTGCACTTGGCAGCTGATGAGGAATAGGGGTGAAGTCTGTACAGGAGCGATTTTATCCTTCTGTGACTCCAGGGGCATATGGGATCCCATGGGTTAAAATGAAGGGTGGTGTGGTCCGCATCTTTGCGAGTGTGCAGTGAAGCTGACAAAGGGTTCAGAGCTCCTTGAGTGACACAGCAGAATCACACTGAACGCAGCGGCAGACGGTTCAGAACCTGCTTGGTTCCGGCTCTGCTGCTTGTCAGCTGTGTGACCTTGGAGGGGGAATAGAGCATGGAACCTCTCCGTCAAATGGCATTATTAAACAGCTTTAGGACCAAGAGTATGTGTGGGAAGACGCCGAGCAGGGGCTGGCGGGCCACATGCTGGCAGTGACCGCCTGCCGAGTTAACGTGACTTTGCATGGAGGATGGGAACGGGGAACCTGACATTGGAGCTCAGAAGCTTCAACCTTCTGGGTCCCAGGGCTGCAGCTGCTGTCAGACATCTTCCCAGGAGCAGATGGTGTTCACAGCCGGGGCCCTGCCAAGTGCCCAAGGACACCCGGAACCCTGCTGGGCTCCCACCTGCAGACTCCCTTCCCAGACGGTGCACCTGTGCTCCAGCTTCTGGGACCACCAGTGACTGCCAAAACCAGCCCTGTCTGTGCCGGAAGCTGGGATGCAGCCACAGCTCAGTGTGCACGGCTCTTTCAGATCCGTAATACACCGAGGACTGCAGCTTGCGCCATCAAGGGCCAAGCACTGCATGGGCACGAAGGCACGGGGGGTGCAGGAGAGAACAAAAAGGAAGTATGTCTGTCCTTCTGAAGCTTCCAGTTTGCTGTGAGTGCACATGGGAAAAATCACTTCACATTTTTAAGAAGAATGTCTTTAAGACAGTGAGTCTGCTAACTTATGCCCCAAATACCCACAATAGTCAGGGCTGAGCCAGGCTAAGGCAGGAGGCTAGACTGGAATGCAGGGCTTCCGTGAGAGTGTCAGGGACCTACCTACTTGACTTGTGCATTAATGGGACTCTGATGAAGAGTGAAGCTGGAACTCGAATCAAAGGCACTCATACAGGATGCAGGTGTCCCAAGCTCCCTCTCTCCCTCCGTCCCTTCCTCCATCCCTCCCTCCCTCCATCCTTCCTTCCTTCCTTTCTTCCTCTCTTTCTTAAGATGTATTTATTTTTATTGGAAAGGCACATTTAAAGAGAGAAAGACAGAGAGAAAGATCTTCTGTCTGCTGATTTACTCCCCAAGTGGCCACAATGACCAGAGCTAAGCCAATCTGAAGCCAGGAGCCAGGAGCTCCTTCCAGGTCTTCCACATGGCTGCAGGGTTCCAAGGCTTTGGACCATCCTCCACTGCTTTCCCAGGTTACAAGCAAGGAGCCAGGACACAAAGTGACACCTGTATGGGATCCTGGCGCATGCAAGGTGAGGGTTTTAGCCATTGGGCCATCGCACCGGACCCCTGAGTGGTTTCTTAAGCAACTGCACCAAGCATCCACGCCTACCCCAAGTTTTTAAAGGCTTTTGTGTTTTCATTTGGAAAATTGTCACTGTAATGTAATGTATCTTAATACAGCTTTGGACCTGGTGCAATAGCCTGATGTCTGTCGCTGTCAAGTTTGCCTGTCACTGTCAAGTTCGCAATTTTAGCTCTTCCACTAGGTACCCAGGAGCTTCTCATTGTAATTATTTTTTCTGTTTTAATTTTCAGTTTGAGAGACAGCAAAAGAACTGTTATCTGCTGGTTTATTCCCACACACCTGCCAAAGCCCCCAGCCTAGACCGACATGGGGAGCCGGAACTCTATCCAGGTTCCCAGATGAGTAGCAGCTACCCAACTACTTCAGCCAGCACCTGCTGCCTCCCAGGATGCACACTAGCTGGGAGCTGGAGTCAGGAGCAAGAGCTGGGAATCAAACCCAGGCACTCTGATGTGGAATACAGGTTATCTTTTTTAATGTCTATTTTCATCTACTTAAAGATAGAAAGAGATCATTCATCTCCTGGTTCACTCCCCAAAAGACTGGCACAGCCAAGGTTGAGTCAGAAATCTCCTGTGTGAGTAGCTGAGCCACCATCTGCTGCTTCCCAGGGTGCCCTGGCAGGAAGTTAGGTTAGAAGCAGAGAAGCCAGGATCCGCATGAACACTCTGACATGAGACACAGGCACCCCAAGTAGCAACTTAACCTGTCATGTCAGAATACCCACCCCAGGACATGGACAACTCAACCACTAGGTCAAATGCTCATCCTTTTCATGGTGGGTTTCATTTGCATTACACCAGTGATAAGTGGTGTTAAGCCCATTTCAAATGGCTTGTTGATTATCTGTTGTGAAATGTCTGCTCAAATACTCAATTATTATTTTTTAAAATATTTAATTGGGGGAAAGGCAGATTTACAGAGAGAAGGTGAGACAGAGAAAGATTTTCCCTCCACTTATTCACTTCTCAAGTAGCTGCAAAGGCCAGAGCTGAGCTGATCCGAAGCCAGGAGCCAGGAACTTCTTCAGGGTCTCCCATATGGGTGCAAGGTCCCAAGGCTTTGAGCCATCCTCGACTGCTTTCCAAGGTCACAAGCAGGGAGCTAGATGGGAAGTGGAGCAGTCAGGACACAAACTGGCTGCTCATGTGGGATCCCAAAACTTGGATCCCAATCCCAAAGGGCAGGATTAGTCAGTTAAGCCATCATGTCAGGCCCCAGTAATTATTGATTCATAGAAATTCCTTATGGATCTTGAGTATAAGTGTGTGTCAGATGTATATGATGAAAACATCTTCCAATTCTGTAACTCCCATTTGCATTTAAAAATAATTCTTTTGCAAAGAGTTGATTCATGAAGATACCTTTAAAAGTCTGTAGAAATTGGGCCCGGTGCGGTGGCGCAAGTGGTTAAGGTCCTCACCTTGCACGCCCGGGATCCCATATGGGCACCGGTTCTATCCCGGCGGCCCAGCTTCCCTTCCAGCTCCCTGCCTGTGGCCTGGGAAAGCAGTCGAGGACGGCCCAAAGCTTTGGGACCCTGCACCCGCGTGGGAGACCCGGAAGAGGCTCCTG